AATCTTCTGAAGCATCGTGAGAATATGGCCTGCATGCGGCATGGAGTAAGGCAAAGAAAAGGTAAGAGCAATCCAGCATTGTGGGGTTGGGAGAAAATCCATATACCAGTGGGCCTAATCAGCAGGTGCCTCCTAGCTCATGGCAAATTTCTGTGTCCTGAGGTTTCCCAGGGCCTCCCCAATTCCTGAGTCACTTCTGTGTGGACACTTAACAATCCACGTGGTGACTTAATGACTTCAATGAGGAGAGCTCAGATTGCAGTCATTGAGTGAAGTGGTCATGTGGGTATCTCAAGTAATGATTTCATTAATGACCAAAATTCTGGGCTTAATTGTGGTTGTAAATCAAGGACTACCTGAAAAGACTTGCATTTCCTAAACTGCAAGCTGCAGCAATGTGGACAACGATACAAGCCTTACTGTCATTTTAAGGGACAAACTCACTTTCCTTTATTTTTTTCAAAATAAGCAGAATATAACATTTTAAAATGATCAAGAATTCTCCAAGTAGTTGGCACACATGTTTGTATGTTAGGATTTTTATGCAAAAGAAATGCAATTCTGAATGTAAAATGATCTCAATCTGACAAAAGTAAGTTTACACATAAGAAAAATCTTCCATTATCATATTATCAATCAACCTAAGACAACACTCCCAGTTTAAAAATAAATTATATGGGGATGTGGATAGGGGTGGGTGGGTAAACCGCTAGTTAGCCTGTCACATAGATATAATAAATGCCCTATAGTCAGATCTGATTGAAATGTGTCCAAAGCATAGAAATATTTTCTTGGACTTATGCTCCCTTTAAGGCCAAACAGTAACCAACTGTTCATAATTGTATTAAATATGCTACATGGGTTGTTATCAACATTATAATGAAAAGTAACAGGATTATATTAAGCAGTTAATCTGAATAATACTCATTGATACCCATTCTTCACACACTGGTACCATAAGTGGGTTACAGGAAATTACAGGAATTAGAATTTAAGGTATAAAAGAATAGAATAATATCACTATTATAGGGTTTACCCATACAAAGTGTAATACTTTAAGAATGGTACTCATTTCTAAAATTATCAATTAAAAAGGGTATGGCATGGCTATCCTATTAACTGCTAATAAGAAGAGCACAAAAGAATAAATCAAAACTAAAAGAAACCCTACATGTAATCAGCAGAACTAACTATAAGGCATAATGCACGAAGAATCATACATGTGAGATGGCTGGCTTTATAAATTTACTAAATAAATTGATTTATATTACTGGCATTAAACTGCAGATACATTTTATTTAATTCAATCAAACATCCAAGATGGGGAAGGGAAAAGGAATTCATAGCAAGCACAAATAAGAAAAAAAAATCAAGGTTGGAATATAGATAACAGTGGCAAAATTAAATCTTAGAATACAGGTCCACCTTGATAGCACTGGAGATACAATTTATCTCCAAATACTGATAGCTCTAGAGACAAATTTTTGTGTTATGATTGGGATGAGTAAATATTGGAAGACCCTGTAAAAAGAACAGTACAATAAATAACATATTTGCCACTGACTTAACAGATCCAAAAAGGATGGATGAAGGTGTCTGTCACATGGGATACCAGCAAATTTATCATGAGTAATACCAGAGGGCAAGACTTTTAACCAGGCCAAAGAAAAAACTCTCAGAGAAGATGGAGCAAAAATGGAATTATCCACCTGGTACAGCGTTGTTCAAACCAGGTGGGTCTATGACAATTCATCATGGCCAACTCACCACAATCAACTTGTCACGGCCAACTTGCCATGACCAACTTGTTGTGAGACAACTCACTGCGGGACAAGAATTAGACTAATATCAAATAAATGGTGGAATAGTATATTTAAAGAAAGGATGCAAAAGGAAAGGCAAAAGGAAACGTGAATGACAACAATAAAAAAAAAAGTATTCATTTTAAATAATTAAACTGAAGTGTTAAATTGTCCTGCAGTGAGTTATCCTACAGTGAGTTGGCCATGGTGAGTTGTCCGGTGGCTAGATGACCATGAGTTGGCCATGGCGAGTTGTCCCATTCCATCACCAGATCATGGATGCTAGGCCTTCTGGACAATATATTAGCGGAAGCCAATATATGAGTCTACTTTGCCAATTCAAACTCCAGCCTTAATTTGCAGCATACCACTTGGAATATAATGGGGAATGTCAAAAATCATCCTTGGATATTTAAATAGCATTTTTTTCCAATATTTTTTCTTTATAGAAAGTACAAAGCTATATATTGCAAAAAATATATATGAACAATTGTTTCCCCCTGAAAAATCTAAGTGGTTGAGGGTTTAAACTGGCCAATTTCATAAATAAAACTTTAGCAGAACAAAAGCTGACTTCTGGAGATTTTCGTGGCCTGAAAGGATTGAGCATTCCATGCACCTGAATCACAGATATCTGTACTGTCTCATTTGTTTGCTAATAAAGCCTCTAGTCCAACATGGTGTTTTTGGAAAAGATTATAATTTTGGTTTTAGAGTAAGTAAAGATGAGTCTTTTTTCTTGACCATGTTTTATAAAGAATTATAATACTCATAGTCCCACCACAAAGTAAGAAAGAATGATAGTACCAGTATAAATAAAGTGGGAATTTTTCTGCTGGCCCAAAGCTGGGGAAAGATTCTTGATTTCTAAGCATCTGACATACACAGTTTAAATAAAAACTGAACAGGAAAGGAACCTGTTGCGTCCTCCTGACACAGCCGACAGCCAAGCCACGCCCTGCCGCAACCTGATTGGTCCAGGCGCNCAATGGACCACAATGTTAGCAGTGGTCTCAGAATGGGCAGAGGCCCTTGAGTTGTCACCCGCAGGCTTGCCCGATGCTACAGAGTCACGGGGTGCTCCAGAGTTACCTTGTGGCACCCACGATGAGGAGGACAGCAGCCAGTCATAATTCGCAAGAGAAAAAAAAAACCAAGGTAACTGTTAGACAAGCCAATTGAAATTGAAAAACCTTAAATTTGGAAAAATAGCCTAAATACTAGTAAATTTTGAGGAGAACAATTTTGTGCATCCAGTCCTGATTGGACTGAGTCTAAAGCTGGGAGGAACTTTAGACTGATGAACTAAAGCTGATGTCACAACTGTAGACTCAGTCCAATTGGTCAATGGACAGAGACAACCCATCCTGACTTCTGTCTCCATCAACTGGAGAGAAATGCTGGACAAAAGTACTCCAAGTGGACTATTTAGGAAATACTGTCTACATAGTTCATGATTTTTCTTTATGCAGAAAGAAGTAGAAAAATGCTTCTTATGTCCTTCTGCACAGAAATATCAGTGATTATCATAGGATAGCGCTTTTGCATTTAGCGCTTGCATTTAGCCTCACCCATGACATTAGTCAAGCCAACCTAAGCAACTGGAGGCTGATCTTACTTCTCCACCAGCTCTGGTTCCCTTCTCTGACATATTTTGCCTAGCATAATAACTAAAACAATGTATGTGATGAAGCTTCATTCAACAACAAAAACTGAGCTCGGTATTTTAAGCAACAATACTGAAAAAACAAGAAAACACACAATATTAAACATGGAAGATTTCACTTTCAAAACTCAAAACTTAAAAATTCCTTAAGAACAAAAAAACTATTCGTTTGCTCCAAGGAAGTTAGACATCAGAAAAATTTATTTTCAGAACTTTTATAAATTGGGCATTAAGCCTCACTGGATATTGGTATTGGCAATTTGTTAACCTAAAACTCTGGAAGATCTCCCTCAATTATTTTTAAAATGAAGCATACACCTAGAAGGCAATGGTGAATCATTTCTAGAAAACTATATAGACATGTCCAGGTAATCTCCAGCAGTCAAACTGGACAGGAAAGAGCAATATCTTTTTAGGGGCTGGAGTCTTTGGGGCTGGCACTATATGTTGATGCTGTGCTCACAATAAATATAATAGTTCAAAAAATACCTATATCATCATTGGAAATAGAAATAGCAGAATGCTGTCTTTCATTATCAACTTGAATAACCTGTTCAGAATTAATTAATTCCTTCCTTCCTTCCTTCCCTCCCTCCCTCCCTCCCTCCCACTTTCTGTTCATTTGTGTATTCAAGGAAATCTATATTTTCATTTTAAAATATTTAATAAGGTACAACCTTCTTAAAAGTAATAACAGAATTGATTAAAAATTAAACGCTATTCTTTAAAAAAACTTGCAATGGTTAGTAGCCTAAGTAGTGCATTTTGCACAAGACACTTTTCAAATACAGCCCATGTAGATCATACTGGAATATTCAAGACAGAAAAGTAATCAAGACATGGTCATATATTGACACCATATTTGACTTGGACAGGAAAAATTGAAATTGGCTATTGGTCGTGTTGCGTCCTCCTGACGCAGCCGGCAGCCAAGCCACGCCACGCCGCAACCTGATTGGTCCAGGCGCGGTTGGCTGCTGGCGGGAGAATTGCACCGCTCCCATTGGCTGGCCGCCTGACAGCTATCCATATAAATAGCTGTCAGGTGGCGCTGTCCCGCGCGTGAGTCCTGAACAAGTTGCCTGTTTAACCCTGTTGAAATAAAGTTCTGAAAATTGCCTCATGCCTCGCCTCGTACTTAAAACCTGGCGACAAGGATGAGCGACAACGAACCTGTACATATTCCGGCCCTTGCCGCCGCTTCTTCCTTCGCTCCTGAGGTAGAGAGCTGGGATTCCTTCATGGAGTACTTCGAAGTTTTCCTCCAAGCCCACGGGCTGACCAACCTGCCTGAGGGGCGCAAGAAGGGAGTGTTCCTTCATTACTGTGGGGCGGAGATGTTTGCCACCGTCCGCGCCCTCTCCGCTCCTTCACTATCGCACGCAGTTCCATTTGACGTTCTCCTCTCCCGCCTCAAAATCCATTATGAGCCGGCTTCCTCTCGCTACGCTAGATGACAGCACTTTCGTCATTGCATCCCATGGGAGGGCCAGTCCATTGCTCAATATGTGGCGGCCCTTCGCACCGCCACCATGGACTGCAAGTTTCTGGGCTTGGACGACGCTCTTCTGGAGCAATTCATTTATGGTCTCCTCGACCTGAACCTCCACCGGCGCATCCTCTCACGAACTGAGTTGTCCATGAAAATCGCCGTGGATGAGGACAGGGCGTACAAAATGGCCGGCCAGTCCACGCCGGATCTTCACCGGTTCCCGCCCTCTGTCATGGCTCTCTTCCTCCTTCGTCCTTCCAGTGCCAGGTGTCCCACGAAGAGCCTCAGTCCGACTTCGATGCCTCCGTCAACCGGCTGCGCTCTCTTTCCTTCAAGGACGCCGGGGCCTGTCTCAGCTGCGGTGGCTGCCACCAGTGTTCCTCCTGCCGTTTCTGAGCCGCGCTCTGCCGCCAATGCGGCAAGAAGGGCCACATAGCCTCCGTCTGCCGCTCTCCTGCTTCGGCTCCTCAGGCCTCCAGGGCTCCAGCCAGCCGCCGTCCGGCCTCTGTGCCGTCTTCTGTTTCCCGCTGCTATGCCGTTTCCCAGCCTGAGGGGTTCGCTCCTGAATGGCAGATGGATGCCGCTTCTACCACGTCCGGCGGCCGGGGTAAGATGCATCTCCGCGTCTTGCTAGCCAGCCGCCCTTGCCAGATAGAGCTCGACACTGCCTCCTCGAGAACCATCGTGTCCTGGGACACCCTCAAACGACTTTTCCTCCGCTTCACGTGGAAATGACTGTCTTCTGCCCCTTGCCTCCTTAGGGACTACCAGGGGTCTCCTATTCCTGTCCTGGGGTGCCTCACGCTGCCGGTCCAGTATGGGCGGTTCCACGGTCCCTTGCCCCTCATAGTGGTCAGGAACTCCTTGACCTCTCTCCTGGGGCTTGACTGGTTCTGGGCCTTCAGGTTGCCATCACTGGCATTAACTCCCTCCAGCTGGCTTCCGACATCGACCTGCTAGTGTCAGAGTTCGCTGATGTATTCAGCGAGGCCCTGGGTTGCTACAAAGGCACTCCAATCTCCCTAAACCTCGACCCCCTGGTAGTCCCCATTCGCCTCAAAGCCCACAGAGTGCCATTGGCGCTGCGGGCTAAGGTTGACGCTGAGCTAGACAAGCTCATCTCCCAGGGCATCCTCGAGCCCATGGACCACGCCCCTTGGGAGACCCCTATTGTACTTCCCCTTAAGTCAGACGGCTCCCTGAGGGTCTGTGCCGACTACAAGGCCACTGTCAATAAGGCACTACAGGCCCATCCCTACCCCGTCCCCGTCGTCCAGCATGTGCTGCATTCTTTGGGCCAGGGCAAGATTTTCGCAAAATTGGACCTGGCCCAAGCGTATCAGCAACTGCCTGTGGACGATGCCACCACCACGACAATCATAACACACCGGGGGGCGTTCCGCTGTACGTGCCTCCAGTTTGGCATCA